TATATATATCTATATCTATATAAAAAAACTTATCAAAACTGACTGAAAACAAGAACTTTAATGAAGTCATCCCAACAAAAGCAGTGTCTAAATACAAAATTAAAAAAAGAAAAAAATTAAAAACAACAACTACAACTCAACAAGTCTATAATAAAATCCAAAGACCTGTGTGAAGATTGACCATGGCCTGAGGGAAATGTCAACCACTTGACAAATCCCTGTGTTTGACTTTCATCAATAAAAAGCAATTAAACAATCACCAAAGAAAAACAAAATCAATCAGAGCAGAGTCAGCAGGTGCACTTACTGATGTTGTACTCCTGAACTTTGTTGATGTAGCTGTAGATTGGTGAGTAGCCGAAGAAGATCAGCATCACTGGCTCGCCGTCAGCCAGCTCCACCACGTGGGCAGTGTGCCCCTCCAGGGTGTAAGGAGGAGGTGGGGCTGGTTTCCGTGGTGACCAGGTCCGTCTGGGGATGTTGAACACCCACATCTCGTCCGTCACGTTGGCCGATTTTGCCTCCAGCTTCCCACCAAACATGTAGATGTCATCCTATATGAGAGAAAAGACAGAGAGAGGTGATACTTTAATGTAAGGCTAAAATTATTTACATGAGATTTACAACATTAATATAGCAGCAAACAAATATTGGCTATGTAAAGATATAGCGTGTGGAGTCATTGTGTCCTGAGCAAAGAATAAGTCATACTCCCTTCCCCTGTGTTGCTATCGCAGCCTGCACAAAGCAAAACTGCTGTTTTTCTCATCTACCTCTGATAATGGATTCATTTCGACCAAACCAGAGTTGGTGATTGTTGGAACAGTGAAAATAAGTTTAGAGTGTTTCTGTCCACTTCTTACATGTTACAATGAAATGCAAGTTAAAACGACTGTTTTTGTCTATTGAGTCTGGTGGTGAGCTATAGCAATTTCTGGTCCAGCGAACAGCCTATCTCTGTAGGGATGCTTTCAGTAATCTTTGTCAGACACTTCACACTGCAGGCCCAAGAGGCATCCACTTGTTTTGTGTGACAAATAGTAGCAGTGAATTTTGTATATATAACCATAAAAAGGTTTAGGAGGCTCTGTTGGCAGAAATGAAATATCATTTTAATTATTAGGTATGTTTTCATTATTGTATAATCACCTAACAATAAGAATTCTTGTGTTTTCATTACCTTAGACTGAGCCAGTTTCACCTACAGATGCCATGGGTAGCTTTCAGTGGATGCCGCCATGTTGAGCCGCAATGATTCAACAGTAGCCTTGCATGGACAAACCAAACAGTTGCTGTAGACAGGGGCATTTGTTTTTTTTTGCAGCCACTGTAATATATAATGTAAGTGAGTTGTAATCTGCAGCTACACCACTAGATGCCACTAAATCTAACACCCTGGTCCTTTAACATAGTCCCGATATATAAAATATTATCAGTTTCATCCAACACCCGTTCACATAGGCTGTCTGGCCATGTGTTCACACCAAGAGCATGTCAGCTGCAGAGCAGAGCGAGAGCGAGGAAGACTACTGCAGTGCCTTTACTCTGAAAATAAGTTGAAACTGTACTGAAATATGTGGCTATGACTACCAATAGATCCTTTTTTGCTCACGCGGGCAGTGTGACCACTCTAATACTGTTAACATGGATGCCGAAATAAAAATCAAGACCTTCCGCCACACAGGATGTGAACCAGCGGCACATATAGATGGAATGTGAAGATATGTTTCTTTGTGTTGCGCTTGCATGCTGCTTCCAGTGTGCCATAAGATAACCTGCTGTTCATTTGTATGGTATTGGAGAATTTGGCTTCTGAGGCTAAATGTATGGTTTGAGGAGAAGAGGAGTTCTTGTTTTGTGCAAAAGAAGAGGTGGTCATAATGTTATGGCTGATCGGTGTCATGATTGAGATGGTTCAAATAATGCCATAAACTCTCTTTTACACCCATTATTGAGGTGAGACACTTGGCGGTGCAATAACCTGTGAACTCAACTGTGATATTAATAGTTGATATGGCAAACATCCTGTGTATTGTTTATTGTAAAAATGATCCCCGTTAGTGTCTGCTGTCCATAAAAAAAAAAAAAAATTGACATTTTGGGATAAGTACTATTATTATAGTATCTATATCTATATCTACTGTATCTTGCCAAGAGTTCGATAAGACCATTACCACTCATAGTCAGTATCTGGTTAGCTTAGCTTAGGACAAAGACTGGAAACAAGGGGAAACAACTAACCTGGTTCTGTCCAACGGTAGCTCAATTATTAACATGTTTAAAATATTCAATATAGCAGCTTTCGGTCTCTAATGATTAACTAACATGCTCTTATATGCACTTATCTCCACATCAGTGCTTGTTATGTCATGCAGCAGCTATACAACATGGATGAGGAGTCACCTAAAATATCAGTGTTGGTGAAGAGCCAGCAGGTCTGGTGGGGTGTCTCTGTTACTTCCCAAGATAAAACTAAAACTTGCATTTCTGCTTTGTGCTCTAAGTCTAAGTCGTTCCTTGACATGGTGACAAACTACATCGATGAAATTAAGTAATTCCTTTCAACCCTAAACAGGGAAGGTATGAAGTTAGAACTATAGTACAGTACAAATTGTGCTGCCTACAAATCTTCTTCAGGCATCCTCCAGATCAAATCTCACATCTCACCTTCATCACAGCAGAACAGAGACATTTGTCTTCATTCTCCCTCCGCCTTTCACTATTAAATGACCTCTTTCACACAAAAATAAGCATGTGTCCCGGTATTTGGACAGTGATACATCATTTGATGCTCCCAAATGTGAAGTGAGTGATCTATACAGGACACATGGATGGTTCTGATGTTCTTATTTCTTCAGCAGCAAGGTGAATAATGGTCTAGTCTCCCCAAAAGTGTAACACTTTCTCATCCGTCTTGTGAAATGACTTCCAGTGACTGCATAAACAAGTTTCAAAGAGCCAACAGTTACTGCTTTTTGAGTCGTTTGTAAATTATATTTTGAAGTAATTATTAATCAGCCTAAAATGGCCCATATCATATGATATCAAGCAGACTGTATCTTCAAATAGCGTATTGTTTTTCAACCAAGTCAAAAATTAAGATTTTCAGTTTACTTTAAAGAAAAGAAGATAATTCTTTCATTTGAGAAGATGTAACTAGAAAAGGTGGTTTTTATTTGATAATTTCGTTTTAATTTGATAAATTAGATTTAGATTAATCAATCATCAACAACAATAAAATTGACCAATGAGCAGTTTAATCCACCAGTTTGTACATGGAGTAGCCTAAAAACGGGTTTATCTTTCAGGTCTTAAAGCATTGGTTAAAACTGACACAGCCGTGGACTGATGTTTTAATTGGCTACAGGTGTTGTACAGACTAAACTGTTCACAGCAAGTAAACGTAGAATATATTTGCAGCTTAATTGTCTTGAATGTGGTCTGTTTACATTTGTACAATTGTGTCTATGTGTATGGAGGCATAAAGTGCAAACTGACATCTGTACAGTACCTTATTTTCATTTTACTGCATTCCTCAGACAACTTTTTTTCTCTTTAGTGTCAGCAAACACAGCTGTATTACCTGGTACAGAGCCAAAGAGTGACCGTATCTGTAGAGGGGGCCACTGCTGACGGGCACCACATCCCACGTACTGGTCTCTAGGTTGTAGCTGGAGGGAGAAATAAATCAAAGAAAAACAGAGTGGGAGATATACATCTGTAGTTCACTTTGTGTAGAACTTTCAGGCATGGAAGAAGTATGCAGAACCTTTACTTTGGTAAAAGTATCAAAAGTACACAAAGTTGTGCAGTAAAATGGTCCCTGTCAGTGTTTTACTATTATAAACCAAGGGATGAGAACCAGGGGGAAGAGACATTTGACTATCTTTAAAGAATAGCCAAAACAAAACATGACCATACTTTGTCCTCACTTTATTAAATGTAGTGTTTAATATTAAAACCCCACAGGCATGAGGATGACCGTACACTTAATGAACTATATTTTGACTTTTTGAGTCTTTGACTCATGGAAAGAGATCATCAGTGATCATATCAATAAAATATTTTGCCCCAAACAACAACCCTCTAGTTTTCACCCACCAATATGTTTTTGCATTAATATTACTGCTGCATTACTGCTTTAGATGTTTATGGTTGAGCTAATTTTAACTAATTGATATACTGTTGGGCAGTTTAATCTACAGTTATCCATCATATTCTGGAAGATCAACATATGTGTGTGTATGTCTGTCCTGTGAGAATTACATAACTCTTGAAATTCAACTTTTCATGAGCTCAGAAAATCAAGCCCTGTTTCTGGCTGTGTGACAATGCATTTTCCAGCTAATCCAGGAGGGGTTTTAAATAGTGTATTCATCTTAAGAAGCAGGAGAATTTTCCAAACATAAGGGAATAAGGGAACACTTAATTGGTAAACAATCTCATAATGATACTTTGAGTTTTGAAGTCTACCCTTTAGATCAGTTTTCCACTGACAGAAAGTTGCTGAGTCAGACTGATACTGCTTACTTGAGGACCATGTGGTAGTTGGTGTAGTTGAAAGAGTAGCCTCCCACCACCCACATCAGCCCAGAGTGCACCACAGCCTGATGGGACGCCCGACCGAGAGACTGAGCTGACGGTTTGACACTTGGCAGCACCCAGAAGGCCTCAGTGGAGGGAACGGACAGAGAACAGTCAGGACCTGCGACATAGAGAGAAAGAAAAGACATTTTATTTAAATAGTATCTTAAATAGCTGTAAACATGGTTGAAACCACAGCCATCGAGAGAGAAAAAAGCATGATGAGTGAAGTATGTAACATGATGTTTAATATTACTTATTTTTAAGTCAGTAAGAGGAACATTATTGAGTTTTCTCTTCATGCCCTCAAATTTGTTTTTATGTGTTATGTGGAGTTTGGTGTCACTGTGTAGAATCAGTATGAAAGCAGGCCCCACAGATCTGTACCTGTCATCACCCAGCACTTTGGACATAAGACACACCGCAATATATGTTGACAAAAAAAATGTATCAAACCAAATAAGTACATTAAAGTGCCAATTAAGGATTATTAAGGTGTACAGTGTGGATGTGAGTGGTGCAAGTGTACTTGAATGAAGGGAGAGCTAGAGCCAGACTTAAAATACACTGGGGCCTTCAGGTGTTCCAGGTTATCCTAACAATCACCTACAGAGTGATCAGAGACAAGTGAATCACACAGCCAACAAGATGACAGGGGTCATCACTACCCCCACTGTTTGTTTTCTCTCTCTCTCCCTCTCTCTCTCTCACAGGGTTGAAGTGCAGGAATCATCTAGGAGCAGTCTTTTGAGACGATTGTGAGTTCCTATTTATTTACAAATGTCCAAATGTCTTAAAACTCCAACGTGTCACCAGAGTTTTCAATTTCAT